AATTCAACCTTATTCTCTACCGACAGCGACGCAAACAAACAGAACACTTGAGCTTCATCCGCCAAAAGTTTCTTCAACTCTTTAGTGGATAGAAAACTCTCTTCCTCCTCATCTCCCAAAGATGGAAACCTCACCAACTTGTGATAACAATCAATATGAACTCTATTATACTGCAACCAATTCATACCCAAAATCACATCTAATCCTTCTAATGGCAAACACACCAAGTCCATAATAAAGTCCTTACCATACATGGTCAAGGGACAACTCAAACATACCGAAGACGTAGTTACCAACCCCGAAGCGGGTGTCTCAATAACCATATCACCACCACAAGAAGAAAAACACAAATCCAAACGCTTAGCGCACTCGAACGAAATAAACGAATGAGTCGCTCCGGTATCGATAATAGCAACTAAGGGCATATTATTAATAAAGCATGTACCTTTAATCAACCGATCCGCATTAGTAGTGTCTGCACCCGCTAATGCAAATACCTTCCCGCTTGACGGAGCTTGCTTTGCCTTAGTACACTTCGTACTAATATGACCAACTTCCCCACAGTTAAAACACTTAATCACATTCCTTCTACATTCAGTTGTAGCATGACCGAGACCACCACAGTTAGCACACTTTTCCCCTGCCTTCTTACACTCAAAAGATTTGTGCCCCTCTTCGCTGCACCTATAGCACTTAACGGGACCAGAACTCCCTCCTCCGGATTTCTTGACAAAGTGTTCCCTATGCTTCCCTTTATCAGCAGGCGTCACATAAGGCCCACTCCTTACTGGTTGCTTCCCTCGCCTCTCATTCAAACTCTTATAGTGAGTAGAACGAGCCCTACTATCCTCTTCGAAAATTCTACAGCATTCGGTTAAGTCCGAAAATCTTTGAATCCTCTGATATCCCACAGCTTGCTTGATCTCCGGGCGCAAGCCGTTCTCGTACTTAATACACTTGGAAAATTCCGCCGCCACCGCATCATAGTGAGGATGGAATTTCACCAACTCCGTAAACTTAGCCGTGTAGTCGACCACGGACATGTTCCCTTGTTTCAATTCTAGAAACTCCATCTCCTTCTTTCCCTTCACACTCTCCGGATAATACTTCCTCAAAAATTCAGTGCGGAACAAATCCCAAGTTATTTCCTCATCATCAACCCCAAGAATTTGTCTTATGCCGACCCACCAGTCATCGACTTCTTCTCTCAGCATGTGAGACCCAAGTCTCACCTTGTTCCTCTCAGTGCAATTCATAACTCTGAAGATCCTCTCGACCTCCTTCAGCCAAATCTGAGCACCATCCGGATCAAACCTTCCTTTGAACACCGGCGGTTGATTCTTTCTAAATTCATCGTTAGCATTCACATTCGGCGCACCCTGCACCGCTCGAGCCATAGCTTCCAATGCCGCAGCCATCGCGTTGTCATTACGACCAGCCATATTCCGATTATTCCCAAAAATAACAACAGGGTCAAACAACCGTTCAACCAACAAAACAGCGAGACAGATACAACTGACTCAACACTGGGCTCTGATACCACTTAATGTAACACCCCCTTTCTATGCCCCCAAATAATACAATTAATCATTTAGGCATAAATTTAAAATTTCATCAGAGTACATTTGCAACATGGCATAAAAGGGAAATATCACATTATCATAAAAATTCCAACCCATACAACACCTGCTCAACAGATATGCAACAACGGAATAACACCCACAAGAAATATTTAGAACAAAGGCGGAAATATCCAAATATTTCATAATTCACCAAACATGTATTCACATATACAGTTATCATTCATCATGTTTTACAAAACATATCAACAACAGATACATACTCAGATGTATCACAAAAGAATTAAAATAAATCCTATTTTACCCGGTGCTACATATCAGAGCCGACCGACCAAAAAGGGAGGAAGCCACGCTTCACAAAAATACTTCCAGCGATCTAATCTGCAATGCCTCGTAGGGCATTAAAAGAAACCACAGAAGGGTGAGAAATGATATCATAATAACAATGCATAAAAACATATATATATACATAATACCCAATATACGTCTTTCGCATTCTCACCGCAACTCACCTCGTCATACCGTACATTGCAATGTATTCACATTATCTATTTACAAATAGAACATCATGCATATACAATATGCGTCAACAATGTTTATATCGGTTCATGAACACACAACACATACATATTCATATATTCGCACATACATGTGTCTTCAAGCATACCAATCATGCCAATCATCAACAATTCATATAAACATTTACAATTATGTTCATTCACCATACACCATGCAGGATGTCAACATGCAACTCATAGAAACCGACACACGACTCTATGCAGATGCAAATGCGGTACTGACTCATTCAGCAGGTTCAATTGAAGAACCAAATAACCATCGCTCACACCCCACATGGGCACACGAGGTTCTGCAGATTCTACGCGGAATCAAAATAACCATCGTAATACGAGGTTCTGCAAATCCACCGAGGGATCAATAATTAACCATCGCTCACACCCCACAAGGGCGCACGAGGTTCTGCAGATTCACCGAGGAATCAATAATTAACCATCGCTCACACCCCACAAGGGCACACGAGGTTCTGCAGATTCACCGAGGAATCAATCGACACAAGAATGCATACCATGATGCTTCACATGCAACATGACTCATGACACTCTTGAAATGCACACATGTTTACAAACATACTCATGCATTCTACACATTCATACAAACATCATAGATTTTTAATCAGGCTAAACAATGCACATAATTGCCCAAGCGGCCACAATTCATAATCTAGGATTCACGTCATACGGCTACCCACAGCACAACACAACCCAGCATATAAACTACTAAATCAAAGAAGGGTCGATCGCAACCAAAACCCCAAGCCACGACAGCACCCAGCAACAGGGAAATCCATCCTGCTACGTTCGCTGCACGCTCTCCTAGCGAGCGTTCGCTACCTCCTCGCCTAGCGAACTTCTAGCGAGCCAGCACAGAGGCTACAGACTTCGTTCGCTACACCGTTCGCCACAGTGAACCTCCAGCGAGCTCCTCGCTACTCCCTTCGCTGCCAGCGAGGGACATGAAAACCATTCTGCCCCAAGTCTGGGACCGTTCGCTGCGCACTCGCCTAGCGAACTACCAGCGACCATTCGCGACCTGCTCGCCTAGCGAACTGCTAGCGAGTGTCTGCGATTTCCACTTCTCCCCGTTGTTCAGAATCCAAAACCACCGATAAAATCACCCGATGAATTCCAACTCATATCCAGTAGCCTTAGTCTAACATATACCGACTAATCTACGCCATCTAATCACGATTCTAACCGTTAGACAACGATTTCTATCGATTAAACCAAATTCAACCTAAAATGGAAAGTGTAGAAAAACTACCAACAATCCAAAACAATCCAACAAAATCATACATGATTATACACATTGATAGAATAATAAAGTTTCACACCCTTACCCGATCAATCGAAAGCTTTGGTGATGATTTCTTGAAGTTCTAGGTTTTTCCTCTTCTTTCTCTCCTCTTTCTCTTATCTTCCTTTCTTTCCTTTGTTTTTCTCCCTATGTTACTATCTTCCTTTCTTTTCCTCTCTTATCTCATATTTCTATTTCTTTCCTCTCAAATTCTTTCCACACACTAATTAATCAATTCTCACAAAAATATCCACTTAACATAATTACTAATGCCCAAAATACCTTCCGGTCTATTTTTACCCGATACTCTCAAAGTAGGCAAAAATAGCACAATATGCACAAATAACATATTAACACACAATTACATATTTAAAATAATAATTCAATTAATTAAATCAGAAAGGACTCAAAATAAAGGAAATTCAGGATCGGAGCGTTACATTAAGGATAATATGGAGGACTGTGGGGACCAGGGTATTGAGGATAATATGGAGGACTGTCACTATCATCAAGGTGTTGAGGATAATGTGGAGGACTGTGGGGACCAGGCTTTTGAGGAAATTGTGGAGGACTGTGGGGACCAGGCTTTTGAGGATAATGTGGAGGATAACATGGACCAAGATAAGACAAAATATGGATGTGTGTGGACCAAAGTGGGGACCATCACGAGGAAGAAAATGTGGATCAAAGTGTGGACCATCACGAGGAAGAAAATCTGTATCAAAGTGTGGACCAGCTTGAGGAACATAATGATAGTGATGAAAATGCATTAGGGGAAAGTGATTTTGTTGACTCGGATGATGAGGCTTTGAATGCTGGACTTATTGCAGTATTGGTAGGAGAAGGAGTGTCACCTACAGGCTAAAGTGTTTAACCTAATGATGATATACTAGCAGATGACACAACTCCTAATAGAAAAAGGAAAGGAGGGAGACTATCAAATAAGAAGTCAAAAGTCAGTTCCAAGAGGCACAAGGGTAGACCTAAGAAAAAAGGTGTGGATGAAGGAAGGAGAGTTTCCATCATAAGTGGTGAAGCATCAAGTGATGAATATGTCATTGATCTTGGAGTTAGGGAAAGAAACACATATAAGAAATTTTGTCATGGTTTGTCAGATTCTGAGTATAAAACTGAGGACTTAGTGAGTGAGGGTGAAGGTAGCAGTGAAAATTCAGGTGAGGATGACAATGTAGTCCTTCAAGATTTTAAAATGTTACCATATATGTCATGTATGCATTGTAACATACTGTGTTTAATTTATGATTAAATGTTGTTACCTGCAATAGATGAGTTATTATTTGGAGTTGACCAGAGATCCTGTGTTAGACACCTTTATAGTAACTTCAGAAAAAGATTTCCAGGAAATTTTTTGAAGGAATTGATGTGGAGGGCAGCAAAGGCAACATATTCTCAAGCATGGGAAAGGGACATGAAGGAAATGAGGAAGGTTAATGAGGAGGCATTCAAACACTTGTAGAAGATTCCTCCAAGATATTGGAGTAAGTCTATGTTCAATACAATACAAAAAGGGATGTCTTGGTGAACAATATGTTTGAAACTTTTAACAGTGTTATAATTGGACCAAGACAAAAGCCAATTATAATAATGATGGAGGAGATTAGAGGGTACCTCATGGATAGATGTGCAACTAATAGAGCCAAGATTGAAGAGTATAGAAAATTTGTTCTTCCAATAATTAAAAAATTGCTTGAAAGAAGGAAAGACATGTCTAGGTTTTTTATACCAAGGTACATAATCTATTTACAAGCTAGTCATTAACAGAACTTGTTATTTTAATTTTACCAACACTAACTCAATCAATTGAATTTGTTTCAAAGGTTGTCAGGTGACATGATTTATGAAGTGAGGCATACAAGTTTGAGTGGTGAAAAATTTACAGTTGACCTCAGAAGGTTGGAGTGCTCTTGTAGGAGTTGGATGCTAACTGGCATACCATGCTACCATGTAATTTCTTACATGTAGAGTAGATCTTTAAACCCACCCGACTACATCCCTGCATGCTATAGGAAGGAGGCACACCAAGCTTGCTACCAATCTTTCATATATCCAACAAAATGGGGAAATTTTATGGGAACATACACCATATCCTGACATACTACCACCACCTTCAAGAAGAGCACCAGAGAGGGAAAAAGAAGAAGAAACACAGAGGTTGATGAAAAGAGAAAGGATGCAAAAAAATGTTTTAAGGAAGGGGCTGACAAACGAATGTTCAATATGTGGTATGTATGGACACAACAAATCATCATGTCCTGCAAAACCAAAACAGGCCCAAACTGCGACTAATTTCCAAACTGACCAATCTCAAACTGTCCAATCCCAAACAACCACTTCAGTCCCAACTGTCCAATCCCAACCAACCCAAGGAGATCAAACTGCACAGTCCCAAACAACCCCAAGAGTTCAGACTAGATAATTTCAAACAACCACTACAATTCCAACTGTCCAATCTCAACCAACCTCAAGAGTTCAAACTAGGCAATCTCAAACAACCCCTCCAGTTCCAAAATGCCCGTATCTACAAAGAACTTCTTGAACTTACACGAGTTGGAAGAACTTCGATTAGACGCTTACGAAAATGCCCGTATCTACAAAGAACGAACTAAAAAGTGGCATGATAAACGTTCAATCAAGAAACAATTCAGTGTGGGAGACATTGTATTGCTCTTTAATTCAAGATTAAAACTCTTCCCAGGTAAACTAAAATCTAGGTGGTCTGGACCCTATGAAGTGACTAAAGTACTTCAGAGTGGAGCTGTTGAAATTACCGATAAGATGAATGCGCCGTTCATCGTAAACGGGCAACGTCTAAAACACTATAATAAGAACGACAACAGTCCTCAAGTCAGCAATATAACATTGCTTGAGCTTCCAGCTCAGACACCCGAATAGCTTCTCACCAAGCTATCGTCTGGCTTTAGACGTTAAAAACAGCGCTTACTGGGAGGCAACCCAATTTCCCTCGTTATTATATTTTTCTTTAAAATTCTACTTTGAAAATCCATCGAAATTTCTAAACTCATAATTACTACTACTTTCTACTTTCGTTCATTTTCGTACTTTTATTCTTATTTTATTTTCTCTCTTTTGTCTTTTGTTTCTACCGCCTTTCGTTTCTAAAAATCCTGACTTCAATTTCCTGTTTCAAACTTTTCAGGATTTTTAAAAAGCCTTCAAAACATTCCTTCTGTTTTCTCCGAATTACTTGCGAGTATGGCCGAATACGACTTCACAAAGGTTCACTTCCGAGGACTCGCTCAAAAGGCAAGATTTGCAGCACTGACCGAAAGAGAATTCGCCTTAACGCTGTATTATGATAAAGCTACTATGGATAAACTAGGGATCACAGATAGCATTCAATACCTGTTCAATCAACTGGGTTGGGAGAACACTGCTCTGAAAACACGTTTCGCTACCTACAAGGATCTTACCTATGAATTCCTTAGTTCTTTCAGATACACACCCAACTATGGTTTTGGATCCAGCACAGAGTTGATTACCTTCCGATTGTTTGGAATGGACCAAACCCATAGTCGGATGTCACTAGCTAACCTCCTAGGATTCCCTAGCGGACCGCATGTGTTCATCAGTGCAAAAGATGACGATATTGATTTTCAACTCGATCAATTCTGGGGTAGAATCACAGGCGACTATCACCCTGAACCAGACAGAATGTACAATGATGACATACACAACCCAGCCTTCAGATACTTCCATAAGATACTAGCTCACACCTTGTTTGGAAAAGAAGAAAATATTACTGCAGTATCTAAAGAGGAGTTATTCATCATGTTCTGTGTTTCTCAGGGACGGACAGTAAATGCAGTGCCTTTCATGATGAGATCTTTCAAACGCCTCACGCTGGAACCTCAGACACCTATTCTTATAGGAGGCCTGGTAACAATGATTGCCCACGAGCTTGGCCTTAGATTCCATTTAAATGCCAGCACTCGTTTTGGCACCATCCGACCCATGAACATACAATTCTGCTTTAACAGGCGCATCTTAGGAACTATGGGACCTGGACCGTATGAGTACCTTATTAACGAAAAACCAGTACAGCTATTCACACTGCCTGATCATCTGATGACAAGTATCCACAACAAGGACAACTGGCTCTATGAATTGGATGAGCCTATGGTACCTCCTTCACCACAGTCAACACCACAGAACTATATGTATGACAGTGACCACATCTCTGAGGCACACGACTATATGTACTATGAGGACACTGTATCTGAAACTGAAGTAGACCCTACGACTCCTCCGCACTACAACACTTATCCTGAGCCTATCCCTGAGGAAACCACCGACAAAATGGATGTCGTGTTACTCAGATTGGACGACGTCGATACAGCTCTGACTAATGTAAAAGCTGACATCGCAAGCATGCACAGCGAACTGGTAGGCTTCATGGATCTAGTCTGCGACCAACTCGACTACTATTCACATAAATTCGATGAGTTGAAGGCACAAAAAGATTAGTTATTAGCTCTTAGCAGTAGTTTCAGTTTAGTCTAGTCTAGTTAGTTTCATTTAATCATTTGGATTTTTCGCATTGTTAGTTTTCTTTATGTACTACATACAATTGTTTCAATTTTATGTTATTTCAATTCTAGTTTTTATTCAATTATTCTGTTTTCGCATTATTTGTTGTTTGTTGGCTGTTATATTACATCACCGTATCAATACTAAGCCTTAAAGTCACTACGAGTACGCCCTCAGAGCAAAATTCTGCGTTCTGCAGATTTTGCTGCTGTGACGACCGTCACAGCCTCATGACGAGTGTCACGCGGGTGACGACCGTCACACCTACGTGACGACCGTCACACCTACGTGACGACCGTCACGCAGTCAAAAAACTGATATCTGATAAAACAGGGTTCGTGTTCTCTTCCACTTCCCCCGATTATCACTTTCAATCATCCCAACTCCTACCCCACTACGAATTTTCGTCCTCCCCACATTGAACTATAAATTTCAACTCCAAATTCAACCTCCAAACCTCACTTCTGTCAGTTCTTCCCTCTCTGCAGAAAAACCCCAATCCTCACAAACCTCTCCATCTTCCATCAATGGCAAGGAATGCAGAAACCCCAGATATCAGTAACATTACCTTCAGTGAAGGAGACTTAGGCGAAAGACAGCGAGCAAACTACATTGCATTTCATCAGAGGTCGCTCCAGCCGACTCACTACCCGCACCTTCCATCGCTTACGGAGCTCGGACTCCTTGAAGGCGTAACCTGGATGCTTCAAAGGGCAGGTATCTGGCACCTCTGCACCAACCCACAACCAACATATGAACAACTCACTCTTGAGTTCTTGAGTTCGTTCACTTACGCCACATCCAGCGGCGAACTTAACCAGCACACAGGTGCCGCATGCTTCCGGATGTTTGGCACCAACTATCAGGTGAACCAAAATCAGATTGCCAGCATCCTGCAGCTACCTCGCGGCGACAACGCTCATCGCCGCATCACCGATCAGTTCCAGCACGAAGCTTTCGCGCTGTGGTATCAGTTGACCGGCCTCAATGCCGATGGTTAGGACTCCCTGCACGCCACTCATATCCATAACCCAACCATCCGGTACTTTCACAGAGCGTTGAGCAACACTATTTTCGCCAGAGACAGCAACCACAAAGTGAACTCGAAAGAGCTCTTCTTTCTCCATTGCGTCTTCAACAATGAACCTGTCAACGCTGCCCCGTTTCTGCTGGCTCACATTCAGGCCAACTGCAACCGTGGCTCGAAGCCATTCTACTTTGGCGGGATTGTCACTGCTATTGCACTTGGGCTGAACCTTGGCGACCGCCTCCAGCACCTCCAGTCCATCCCCTCGGTGTTCCTTGACACCGACCACTGCAGAGCCTCCCATCTCATCCGCTCCCGAGCTGACGGCAAATACCATCCGGTTGTGCGTGGCAAGACCGTCTGAAGCATCATCCTTCCGTCCCGCACCCGCATCCATCCAGAGGACCGTACCAACTGGTTGTTCGACCTCACTGCCCCTCCTGCTGTCGCTGCTCCCACTCAGAACCACACTCACGGTTCCGACGATGAAATCCAAGCTGAGTTGGACAGGTCCGAGCAGCCAGAGGCATCGCAGCCTCCTCCTCCCGTAGGTACATCCTCCCGCCGCCGCCGCCGCCATCATCCCGTGCCAGACTACACAGAAGAGGACCTCCGCCGCTCCCTAGACCAGCAGGCACAGATACTCATGATGCTGCAACAGCAGAATCAGCGAGCTGACCAGTTCGAAGCTTGGCACCGGACTCAAATGCAACAACTTCACACCGGCCAAGCTACGATCACTGAGAGCCTAGCGAATCTGACCTTGCAGGTCGAAGGACTTCGAGACACCGTCTACCACACCGGAGCTATGAGCTATGAGGACAGAGTAGCCCTTGCCAGAGCCAGAGGACGCCAGCGTGGACGTGACAGAGGCCGTGACTAGATTTTCATTTTTTCCTTCATTGTTTACTATATTTCAGTTATTTGTATTTTCATTTTCAGTTGTATCTCCCTCTCGCATGCTTCAAGAATTAGTGAGGACACTGATCGAGATAGTGTGGGAGCGGAGCCTTATTTCCATTCCACTGTACTCTGAATTTCCTCTATTTCCTTTATTTCCATTTCACTGCACTTTGAATTTTAGTAATTTCTATTTTATCACTTTCTATTTCTAGCAAATAAAGCTCGTCTATATATTTTTCCCGTTACGCAAACAATCCCCACATTATTCAACGTAAAAAAAAATTTTAGTTCGTTCCTCAAAAGCAAAAGCACCACGAGAATGCACCTGAGTTCAAAACAAGTTTTGAAACTCCAAGGAAATGACAGTTCTAACAAAACCAGTATCGTCCAGACACCTCAGATCTCTAGTTTATGCGAGTCGGTTTCACTACCTACGTGTACCAAAGTCTCAAGTGTCTACGCAAACTCAACCCCAAGTAGTTTA